GGAAACGGAAGAGGGCTACTCGGGTTACTAAACTGGGCTAAAACAACAGCCATATAGCCGTGGGGACATTATAAAGTTGCTGGCTGAATTTCATGACAGGGCTGAAAGTCTGAGCAGTCTCATGTGTGATTAATGATTTCTTTGCTTTGTTGACGCTAATTGAAAAATGTTGAGCAAACATCAGCGAAAATAATTAGAAACTTTGGTTACTAAGGGAAATTTGAGGGGAGCTGACTGATTGAAAATTTAAAATTCAAAGGAGGAGAGGTAATCAATTTCGAGGAAGCTGAGTGAAATATCTGAATAATGAAGAAGTATGATTAGAAAAATATAAAAAATAAAAGTTTATTTTAAAAATGTGTACTTATAAAACCTGCACAATTCGAATTTGGGCTTGTCCAATAGTTAGCCTTGGCAGACATCAATGCATCTGATCAAGAATGAATATGTAGAGCTGCGGGCACTAAGGATTTCCCTTTTTAGCGAACTCCCCGCTTTGACAAGATACATTGCATAAAATGCCAAAAACCCACTTAAGTGCTAAAAGCAAGCAAGAGTCCAAGCTTTTCCATTTGCATATTGCATGGCGGAATGCTTCCTGTTTTCGCCGGCAAGGGAAAGGGGTGAAAAATCGCCAGGACGAAACTAAAACTAAAACTGAAACAAAACTAAATTTAAGGCCCGCGGCAACAACAAGGCAATACAAATATGTACAGAAAGCGTGTCAATGTGGCCCAGACCGTAGCTCTTCTTATGCCAATTGCTGTTCCGCTTGCGAGTGGCAAACATTTATTGCCGACTCTCCAGCGTCGCCATTGCCATTGTCTAAATTTATGGGTGCCATTTTGTTTTGTTTGGTGCAAGCATTTTGCAAGTCAAGTGCATTTATTTTTAAATGCTCTGCAAGGGCCGCGAAGGGCGTCTCTTCAGAGTGCGTCAGCGGCAACCTCAACACTCGGGCCGTTTTCTATCTGTGTCGGTGTAACCGACTTCCTTTTGCTGGCGGGTCTTCCCCAATTCGACGCCATCGACTTCCGGCCACAACCACATCCGCCAGTAGCTGACCGCAGCCTGCATAGCGCGAAATGTACAGTTTACTTAAAGGCCCAGATGAGCACAAAGTCACTTTAGTTAAGTTTTAGAAAATAACCTAAAAGTTGCTGCTCTGAGTAAGGCAAGGTCACACAGTGGAATCTGTGGATGCTGGTCACACTGAAGATTAAAAACTTAGCAATTAGTGTAGTGCTTGCTTCTTGCATTATTTCTCTCAGTGTCGTGTTCTAATTTTATTTGGCTAACAGAAATGTGCGAGGAGCGCTCAAACAAAGTTAGTGTGAAAGCAGCTCTCACGTCTCCGTAGCGTACTTTCCATTTTCTGTAAATTTAAGCAAGTTACTCTAATTGTGTTCGCCGCTTTCCTCTGACTTTTCCCCGCACTTTTTGGGGCTTTCTTTTGCGTGCCACGGCGACTTATTGGCCATTGGCATGCAAGCTGATTCTACTGCTGCTGCTGCTGCTTCTTACTCTGCCTCTTGACCAACTTGACTTGGCCTTGGCTAACATTTGGGGTCTCTATGTGTTGGTGGGTACTTGTTCTCACTTTCACTTCGTTGCTGCACTTGGCTGCTAGCTAAGGGGCCAAAACTGGGAGAGCACACTTTCCGGGGCATTCGTGTATTAACTTAATTGTTTTTATTGGGTATTACGCGGCTTTATGGCCCCAAAGTCCTGCATTCCGACATGGCGTCATCTGGATCCCGAATCCCTCGGCCAAAATCGATGGCAACGATGGGTGTGCCAGGCACCGGGTTGTTCGAGTAGTAGGTGTCATTAACCCGGCACAAATTGTTGTCTGCTGCACACCATGGTTAAGGGCTGCACTGCGTTCGTTACCTTTACGGCCCTCATCTGTTGGCCATGTCAACTGCGCAGTTGGACGGACCGCATCAAATATTCATAATCAACTATGGGCCATTGCCCGTTAACGTTAACGGTCTACCAGCGGCGACCATATTCCTCATATGTGCCAGCCGCCTTATTGATTTTCGATTATGGCCGTAGCGCACCCTTTCAATGGGCGCAAAAAATGAAATTTCGTTTATTTAATTGTAACTTATAATGGTCACTACACAATTTATTTACCATGAAACGTTGCCTACACTTTCACGCTAGCAGGGTATTATTTTAGATATTTTTTTTAAAATTTCTTCCCGAGCTTGAGTTGTTTTTCTCCGTGCATTTGCCAACCTGTTAGTCGTGCGTGTTTGGCCTAGTAATTCATAGAAGTTAGCAGAAGGGAAAGCTAAATAATGCATGCTATACCAATTCGAATCGAGTATTGATATTGGCTTATTGCAAAGGGGTTTATTATTTTTTCAAAAGATTGCCACCCACAGATGGGCACATTAGTGATTTTGGAAATTCCGCTAAACTTTCAGCTCTCAAAATCGATAATGACGAATATATTCAGTCCCAATGACATGCATAGCGTAAATAGTGAAGATACAAACAATAAGTCTGTAAGTCTTGGTTTTATAGTACTTGTATCTCTACCTTGTGTAACAGTATTTGAAACATCGACTGACTCTCTCCAGTCTGGTTATTTATTCCAAGGTTGGGAGCATTTATCAATTCTGTGGCATTAACCGACTCGTGAATGTTTCAAATGTCCGCTGTCTCCTAATAATGATAAATGATTTCGGTGTGTCTTACCTCCGTCGACGATGTAAGTTCATTGCTGGCCAAGTTCTTGTTTTGGTGCTATTTTTGGCTCGATGTATTTCACCCAGCGATCTCGAAGAAAAATAAATAATGACTAGCAAATCGCTTAAAATTCCACACCACCGCACGCAGTGAATTTTCTGCCCAAAGATTAATTGGCCATCCGAAAATAGTTGGCCGGAACCCGCTGGGACTGAGATTTAGTTCCTGGGGGCGTTTCGGATTCGTAGGCGAATTCGCGTGCCTTTTTGCAATTAAATCCAAAGCCAAATGTTTTGGCGAAGCACGTGTTTGGCTTTTGACCCCAAAAGCACTTTTTTTAAAGGCCCATTTTAGTGGAAAATTAAAATTCACCGAAACCAAACCAGATTTCCTCGCTGAAAGCCTTTTAGTAGCGGAATAATTGCCACTTAATGCCACAATTTCTGAAATATTTAATGATTAGTTTTTAGACCTACTATTGATTTATTCGTATATGTATGCAAGGCATTAAAAGTTTGCATTTCGATTTCCCAAAAAAATGTTTTTAGACTATAAAATGTTACCTTGCCTTTAGTTATGTTTAATTTGCTTTTATTTCTCAAATACGCCTACTCGATAAAGCACCTCCTATTCGTTGTAGCAAATATTTTTGTTATTTTTCCGTAAATTTCCCCGGCGAGCAACAAATTTTCTTCTGCACTTCGTTCGGGGCCTTTTGCTGTGTTCGACAAATGACGCCATTAATATTTTTGTTTTGCTCTTTGTTTTTCGCATGGGTATATGCCCATGCCTTTGTTTTCCCGGCTTCTGGCATCCGAATGCACATTGGATTTTCGGTGCAGGGATTTCTGTGCTGGAATGCGGCAGAAAGTAAATCTTTGAACTCATAAAAATCGATGAGCGCACGCAGCCAATTTGTTTATCCATCAGATGCACAAATACGAAACAGTCTGTACGTCTTTGTTCGGTGTTTCTTGGTTTCTCATTCAGGTGACGTCGTGAAAAGCAGATCATTTGTTTACAAAATAGCGAGAAAATTGATAGAAAGGCAGGCTAGTTTTCTGTGAGTTATTGGCAGTTTTGACTTGCCACTCAATCGAAAATGTGGCATCTAAAAGTTTCTTAGGTATTTCTTAGGTATGTTAACCTTTTTCTAGCTTTCTGTCTTATCCTTGAATTAGACATAAACATTTGTGTGTCAGTAGGAATTAATATAAAATGAACTCCACCTCATAGTTTATGTTGATTACTCAAATAAGTAAGTCACACTTTCCATTGACAAAGTGTGACCAGGTCATCAAAAAATGCAGATTCTAAACCATTTCAGTCTGAAATATGGCCCCTGGCATTTGGCCAGCTGAAAGCCAAAGAAATTGCTTTCAGACGGCGACATCCTTTGCTCCTCCTGCCATATCCTGCCACTTAGAGGATTTCGCTTCTTGCAATTATGCCAGGGGAAAATATGGCTCAAGCTGCGAGGCACTGATCTGGAAAAACCAGAACACGCAACGAGGAAAAGAGGGAAAATCTCACCGCCGCCGGGGAAACAGCAAGTTGAAGAAAATAAAAGAAGAGCGGAAACCAACAGCGAATACATAAAGCCAAGTACAAATTGTATATAATGCCAAGGACACTGACGACCTCAAAGCAGCGCAAGCTCACTTCACAGATTCATCTTTAAAGCAGCTCCCATTCAGAGAAAATCAAGAGTATTAATTTACAAATATGAAAGGTACCTTTTGCAGATTAGTTCTCGGGCTTATGCCCTTCCAAGGGGCTTAATGCACGAAAGCAACAGGAAATTGAAAAACCCTGAAATCGGAAGAGTTCGGGAAGTGAGCAGGGAATGCTTGGAACACACATCACGTATACGCCGCGTACCACTCATACTTTAATATGGCGGGTATACGTGCGCAAGTGGCGCGAAAGTGTTGCGCATATTTGGGGTCTTTAATTCCGTGCAACGTCCTTGAGACACCAAAATTGAAATTCAAAACAATAAAAATAATACCAAACGACTGAAAGGCGGAGGCCGAAACGGTTTCCTAATCAAGCGGCCAAAGTGGCGGCTACTTAATACGAGGAGCTGCCAAGTGGAACCGCACAATCGGAAGTCAATTCATAGATTTGTACCCAACCGCAGCCAATAAGAGAATTTAAAAACACAAATTTATTCGCCCACTGTTTTATTCATTCGAAAAATGAAAATATCCGCAACTTGATTAGCGCGCTGGAAATAATACATTTTCAATATAAATACACAACAGTTCAAAGCAGAGAAAGGCATCAGTAGACCTTGCTCCTCATAACAGCCAGCTGTCAGCTTAGGTGCCCTACGTCGAGTTCCCAGATCAGAGTTACTATGAAGCCCGGACCCAGTCGTTCAACCGCCAGCTTGTCCTCCACCACAACGCTTGTCTGTGAAGAGTCGAAGCCACAAGACCATGAGATAAGCTCCAAGATTAAAGAGGATCTGGCGCAGCAAAAAAAGGCGAGGAAGAGCCGGACCAAGGGCACATCTACCGCCCAAGGGACTAGCACCGACGAGGAGCAGTCCAGGGCCGGAATACTGCGGCAGCAGCGGGCTGAACTCCTGTGGAAGACGTTCACGGATGAGGAGTACTCCGACTGGAAGACGTTCAAGGACAACAACTACAAGGTGCCGCTGCGCTCGGTGTTCTCCTACGTGAAGTGTGATCCCGGTCCCCATGTAGTACTCAATCTGCCGCCCAAGATGCCGGGGTCGCAATTGGTGGCCGAGATGATGAAGGGCAACCATGGCGCCTTCATCCGCGTTCGGATCGGGAAGCACAAATTCAGGTGCATACCCAGCCTGCTCAAGTGCTTCTCGGTGTGGTTTGGCAGACGCGACTGGCGGATAACCCGCTTCAAGTTCGAGGAGTGGGAGGTGCCTGCCCGCGGCTTTGAGGTCGCCTACGAGTGGATGCGCACCGAGAAGCTGCCAGGCTTCGAGGTGTTGGTGCCCGCACTCCAAGTTGCGCGCCACCTGGGCGTGAGCCTGCTGGAGAAGCAAATCTGGAGGATGCTGTCCGGCAAGTCGGTGCGCGAGAAGAGCGCCTTCATGCTCTATCTGGAGGCTAGGCAGCAGCCGGCGCTCGGCCAGCTTTGCGAGGCGATGATGCGCCGGCTGAGGAAGTACTTCCTGGCGCTGGTGGGCAGCCAGCATTTTCTGCGCCTGAATGTGGACATTCTAGAAGTGCTACTGCGCCAGGACACCATCGGCGTCAACTCGGAGATGGAGGTGTTCTTTGCCGTGCTGCGCTGGCTGGGCAAATCTGGCGATTTGAAGCGCCTGACGCACTTGGGCCGTCTGATGAAGTGCGTCCGCTTCCACCATATGCCCATGACTTTTTTGTTCAGCCTGCGCGAGTCTTGCAATCGTCCGGACAAGGCGGAGCTCTTTTGCGATGATCCCGTGCTGCTGGCATTCAATGAGGACCCGGCTACAATGCCCACGCTGGAGCGCGCCATATCCTTCATCGGTGTGCGCAGCCAGTACGCAGAACTCGAGGAGTTCCTGACCGTCTGCGAGGGCCACCACATGGACGTGGTCTTCCCGCGTCGTTGGGTCTACCACATCAAGTGCCCGTACCACCTGCGCAGCATTGAATTCCCCTACCAGCACCGCTTCACTGCCTCGGAATTCGGCACCTACATTGACAGCATCCAGAACGAATGGGAGGGCCAGGGGCCGGCGGACCACGGAAGGTCCCTGGTCATCGAATTGGAGCCAGATCCCATGCTAGTCAGGCAGACGATTGGGAAGGCCGGGGAGTGACCCCATGCATATTTCATACTTGTTTACTGTTTTCTACCGATGTTTTCGATACCAAGCATTGCAATGTGCAGCCGCACCTTTTCGAATTAAATTAAAGTTGCTTAACCAATCGATTTGGATTCCTTGTGGTTAAAAAAGCTGCCAATAGTAAACAGCAACTAAAATTTGTTCTAGTTGAGCGGAGACTCAATCGGGCCGGATCAGTCAGACGGACAGAAACCGCATTGGCAAACTCAAATATGCCCGCATAACCAATGGATATGTTAATTATGCATTTTACAATTTGAGCGACGAAGCGATGAGCCGTGACATTCCCGCATATTTGTTTGCCAAATCTGGCAGTGCCACCTAGCATGTGGAGGATATTTCGTCCTTCGGATGAGGCGGAAAATGAGGAAAATCTGGCTTATTTGCATGCAAATCAGCTGCGAACGCATTTAAATTGGGTAGCAGAAAGCCGCTGCAGGGATTTGTCTTTGCGTAATGCGAAATTAAAATGAAATCCATTTGGCAGACGAATGAATTTCAAATGGGATTAGTGAAGATTTTGTCATCCACCTTGGCCAGTATCCTGGCGCAGTTTCCATCTCACCTGGCAGACTCTTACCAACAATTTACAAAATTTAAAAATTATACATATGTATACACAAATATCTCGAAGTGGTGGACGCAAATGGTAAACGTAGCTGAAGCGCCATAAAAGCGCACGTAAAATGTAGTAATAATTCCAATGTCTCAGTAGCCGCTACGCAAGATATCCTTTTACCCCTCCCCCCCTTTTGGCCGCATGTTATACCGCCTACTAATCCCGCCCAGCTCCCTACGTTTGGCCACTTTTTCTACTGTTTACTGCAATTTGTTGTTGTCCTTTTTGTCATTCCAGGACATCTAAAGCCGACAACTCCAGTAACTCTCACTCTCTCCCGCCTTTCACTGCGCAGGTCCTTTCCAGCCCAAAAGGGAAATTGCTCCATTCATTTGCTTAGATCCTTTGATCCGCCCGCGAATTGCTTTATGGGCATTTGCTTGGCAAGGTACGGGTATTTCAAAATATCTATTTATTTATTTACCTATTTATTTATTATGCTGAAATGCATAATTAGCTCACAGGTAGCTCCATTTCTGGGCTAACCTCTGACATTTCCGCCAGCCCACCCACCAAAGGCCACCCACCTCGTGCGCAGCCTTTACAACCGAATGAGCAGGCGAAGGCACACAGCTCGACCAATGACGTCATCACTGCTGTGTGCGTGCCTGTGTGTGTGTCTGTTTGTGTGTGTGTGCGTAGGGAAACTCGTAATGAGGTTAGGTGAAGTTTTTCGTCCTTTTGCAGCTCCTTGTTCGTCGTGGTCGCCTTTGTGCCTGCCTTCGCTCCACGGCAAGGACAGACGCCACGACCTACTTTGGGATGTAAGTTGGTGGGTGGTGTGTAGTGGGTGGTGGTGGCTTGTAGTGGGTGGTGGGCGGTGGGGGGCGCACGAAGTGCGCGTGGAAGTGGGATACTGAATGAAAATTGGAAACAGGATACAACTCTGCTAAGCGAGCGCTGTTTTCGCTGTTTTCACAGTCGCTACACTTGAGTTAAATGGTAATTCGGGCAACGCAATGGGGAATTTTGGCACCATAAATATTTAAATGAAACCGAATAATTTTATTTAGCTAGTATTATTGCAAATTGCAAGACTTCGAGTGAAGAATTGTTTTCATCCCAACTAGTTTGCCTTTCACATTTCGCTTGTAAGATTTTTTCTCAGTAAGTTCTCGCAGCGCTAGTGCCATGTTACTTGTACTTCTGTGGCTGCCTTTGCCGCTGCTGCTGTGACCAATGCCACGAAAGTTGGTTAGTTGGCAATCCGGGAGCCCCTTTTCCACTTTCCCAGCTGGGTACGCGTGCACCCAGGCTCGTTTCGCCTCCTCGCCCGTGTGACAGTTGAAGGTGCAGTCACTCCACGAGGTCGCCATCTCCACCTTTCACCCGCTTGGGGTCACCTGGCAGCTGGAAGTTATAGCCGTTCCCGTTGCCTGCGGTCGAGTTCGAGTGTCTGATTCAAGGACACTGGCAAGGAAGCCCATTTCACCACATTGCCAGGCTTAAGTCCCATTCCCATCCCGCCCATCACCTATGACCTGTCATTTATACTCTGTGCTGCTGATGCGATTGGACTGCGAGTTGCTCAGTGACAGAAGATAATTCGCCTTCGTTTGTCGGAAAGCATTATCTCTTGGCTACTATTATCTAAGGGTTTCCTTTACTTATCTGAAAAGGATTCTATTGCATAACATATTAGTAACATTTTTGAGGAAACTTTTTTAATTTATTTAAGTCTTAACAACTTTTTTAAGCTAATTTGTTTTACTTAAAGCTCAATTCTAAAAGCGCAGTACTTGCATAAAAATGTCTTGTTAAACTATAACTTTTTTAAAGCTGACTTTCAACTTTTTCTTTCGACTTTTTTGCTCGGGAATTAATGCCTCTTGTTTATGAATTTGCTCGAGGAAGTTTGTTTTGCATCTGAGCAGAAGTAAAATATTTTCAGAGCTCTCCTACCCTTCTACGAATTTCTTTTCGAACTGCAAACATTTTTAAAGCTAAATTTCTAAACTTTTCCCCAGCCTTTTGTTATCCGAAATGCTGCCTTTTGTTTATGATTTATGGCTGAGAAGGGAAAACTCAGTTCGTTCTGCTTGCGCTGGCTTAAATGGAAATTTCTCGCAGGACCTCGCAGCGTGTTTGGTTGTTGGAAGCTTGTTTGCCTGTTTACTTGTTGGTTACATCAGACCGCACATAACTTCAAATTACGAGCCCCTGACCACCGGAATTGAATGGCCCATTCCACCATCTACCACTACTACTTCTGGCCATTTCTCAGCGCTGCTGAGAACAGGGAAAATCACGTTGGGAGTTAATTAAACCAGGGATGGATCGGTTTCGGGTGGCAGGATCGACCCCATCCTGTCCTCATAATCCAATTGTCTCCACCGCATTCCTGTCTTTTTATTGCGACTATTGTGTGTGTGCTGAGTGTGTGTTTCGGCTTTTCCTCTTTGGGCTTCCGCTCTCCGCTTTCCACTGCCATTGTTATCCATTATTAATTCGGCACAACAATGGGGCCGAGTGATACTATTGAATGATTTTTATTGTATTCAATTCTCATTTCCTGCCTGCCGGCGGCTTCGCTGGCCAAAGCAACACAGAAACAGTAACAGAAACCAAAACCAAAACAAAGCAAACAAAAATTAATATCGTTCTGCTATTTTTGGCACAGAGGACTGGACTGACTGGAGCCGGCGATGGATCTGCAAAAACTGCGGCACACTTATTTATTATCAGGGGTCAGAGGTCGCTCGTGTGGGGCTATAACTTCGTCACTGGCTGTTGACAGGAGTAAAGGCACTTTCGGCTTTTTAATAATGGAGAAAACCAATCGTTTTGATGGCCAAAGTATCTACTTAAATGCCTGCCGGCGAAATATTAAAATGTGGTTCTACGAAATAAATAATAAAAGTAGGCAGCAGCAGCGCTCCTCTTATTTGAGTAATGAAATACTTTATTATACAATTTTATTTCCCTCAGTACGAACCATTAGTGTCCATATACAACTTAGCAGTTTGGGAAAACTAATAGTAATTTGCTTAATGTACGCCCATTTAACATTTCCGTAAACACATTTTTAGCGCTAAATATTCACTGACACAACGTGCGAATTTATAGGTGAATCCATTATCTAAAAGCTGTGTGTCTTTTATTAGCCTAACAAGCATTTACGGTGAAATTGGTAATCCATTGAGCAGTTTAAATCAATTTTAATGGGAAGTAAAAATATGTGGGGTCTAGAAAAATGCTTGTCTAAATTTTTAGTAAGCGCAGTACAAGAAGAAGTCTTCGTGTTGCACAAATAAAGTTAAAGTATAGCGACCATATTGAACTATAAAAGAATTTATTTAATTATTATTATTAACTGAACCTTATCTATTTCGTTGATATGCACGTTTTTCCACTTTCCTTTTAGTATTTGAATCTATGCACAGATGACGGGTCTCAGTTTTTGGCTTGGGCTTTCAGCCAAATGAAATAGAGCATTGAATGGCAATTTGCTGGCAATTCGCGAACAGATTTTGTTTGAGATACATTGAGATTTAGATGGACATTTGTTGTATTAAAGGGAAAAGTAGTAAGGAAGAAATTTCCTTTTCAGAAGTCTTTATGATAAGAAAGTGCACTGACTCACATTCCAATTCCACGCCCTGCGTATCAACATCTTCCACTCGACGCATCACTTCTAATTGCAGTTGACACACCTAATTGTGGACAAGACGTTCCACGTGCCGCATATCCAGGCCCTTGGCTCTTCGGTTTGCCCACAGAAACTGGGCCAATTGCCAAGGAGAGCCGCCCCGCAGATATGCCGAATCCGAAAATTGTTCCTAATGTACACATTGTTGTTTGAATGTGACATGTCCGCACCGACGACATGAATGCGCCAAACGTTTAAGTTCCCCAGTCGCCTCGACATTGCCAACTGCCTTTTTGGCTTTTGAAGTCCCGTCAGAAGTGGGGACATCTTTCCGGGGAGTGCATATTTGTATTTTCCGCACTCATGACGTAGCGGTCACATGCCCCGGCGGGAAAAACATTTTCCGCAACTTTTCGCCAGGCGGCCAGATGCAAATACTCAGCAATACTTTCGGAAATGTTTCATGTGTGCGCCGTTCGGGCCAAATTCGTTCCTAATCAATCACATTTTGTGGCACACTCGAGTGGCAAATACAACAGGAACAACATATCGCAAACGTGCTAGCAGAGCAATAAAAAAAATTCCACAGAAAATCTATAATTTGGCGTACTTTGTAGTGACTGTTAATGGAACAATTCAAAGAAAATGATCGCTTGGGAAAATTATTCATCGTTGAGGGAAAATGAATTGTCGGTCTAAAATTAGGCGCAAATGAAGTTCTTATGTGTAATTGGTACATGAAATCATTCAGTGAGTTTTGTGTAACTAACAGATGATATTTGTTGTTTAGTTTACAAAATCAAAGCTGGAAATGCAGTGCAATGTTGGTTAAGTTAATATTAAAAAGGAATATTATGCGGATAGACAGAT